AATGCTGTGCTCAGGAACCCAATCCCCCTAATCCAATCGCCGTGTTTTATCATCGCATAACGAGCACTCAAGACAAAGCAAGGTGTCTGTCTATACGTTGCACGAAAGTTGAAATCAGGGTCTGGGTGATAGACTTGTGACGTTGCACAGGGGACTCGGACATAATCTCAGGGGGACAAATTTACCGTTTGGCAGGGGGAAAAATTACCTGGAGGGGATACATTAAACCTTAAAACTTGCAGATACCTTTACTGGGGTGTGATCCGGTAAAAGTGTCCGGGGGAACAGTTTTACCCTTTACAGCGGAGCAATCTGGCAGTTGCATTCCACATAGTGAGTATATTTTTATGCGCGAGCTTATTAATATTGTGTAATACTGAGCTTTTTTTTGGGGGGGGGTTACAATTACAACAGGTGCCATTATTGGGCGCGATCATAGAGATACTCTTATAAATTACGAGTTGGCGTCCAACTCGGCGTATTTTTAAGTGTTCACAGTTCCTCCAACCCGTGGATCTATTTTGCACATAGAGGCTGTGGGCCGCCACGTTAAGAGCTGAGCGCATACTACTCCTATTTTGGGGGCGTTTTCAGCACAGGCCAATAAATAAAATCGCGTGGCTAACCCCTATACTGAAAAGAAGGTGAATTTATAGCCATAATCTTTAATTTCCAAAGAAAAGCGGGAGGCCAAACTCTCCCTGAGAGTCACCAGGTGGCGCTGTTTCTGTCTGATAAGTTGTCTGTGGGCGGGTATTTAGTGCAGTGCGGGCTTCGAATCAGCGTACGGTGAGTAGTTCATATATCTCCGTACGCTCCAATATGCTACTCTATGACGGTGCCCCATCTAAAACACTTTAAAATTATGCAGTATAGTAGCAGGATTCCAGTTGCTCAAGCATGTTTGGTAGCTTTTGGACATCATAGTTATAACCCCCCAAAAATAATAAATAAATAAATAAAATAAAAAAAAAATAAAACCTTTTTTTTTTAAATATTGCCGACGTGCAGTTCTAGGTCTACAGCGATGCGCCCGCTGACCAGAAACCGGAGACTTTTGGGGCCTAATAATGCATTTTGAAAAAAAACAAACTTTTTGAAAAATATACTTGATGCCACTCCAGGGCTTTTGAACATCCTGTTCCGTGCACTCCGAAAAAAAAAATAATATAAAAGTCCATGTGTATACTTGAATCAAGTCGGACTTACGTTCTCTTCCCTATAGATGGATTTCACATTAGCTCCGTCTGCGCATATCCGCATAGGCCTATCCAAGGCAGATAGGGTGCATTTCACAAATGGTTGTATTTCTGCGCGCGAGCTCATTAATATTTTTTTATCCCACGCAGTTTATACAATAAGACATGCCATAATCAGGAGGGATCATAGATATATTTCTGTAAATCCCGAATTTGAGACTGATAGTTTCCAGTTCGGATTATTTCTTTCACAAAAAGCAGCTAATTGCGGGCCTATGTTACGTAGAGGCAGGCGGCTACATTCAGAGCTGAGCAGATAGTTTTACTATTGCTTTGGGGGTATCTTTGGGGAAAGGCGAATTTTTATTTATTTATTTTTTTGTGGCCAACCGTAAAACAAAAAGTGATCTTCTGGCCATAATCTTCAATTTCCAGTGAAAAAAACAGAGGCCAACCTCTTCCAGAGAGTTACCGGGCGGCGATTTCAGTCGGATTTGCACTGTTTTCTATGGGTACGTATATGGTGTAGTGCAACCTGTAAAGACAAGAAGGCAACAGACTAAATGGGGGTGCCCTGTCCTTCTTCTTGGGTTTCTTATTTACGGGCGGAGAAAATGAGCAGTTTTGTCTTTGGAAGTTTTCAAAGCAGTACAGATTACAGTCAAATAACAGAGGAATGTACACCGTATCTCTTTGGAGGGGTCTATTGACCATTTTGTCCTGTCATACTGAACAAGGGCCTGAAATTCCCACCTTTTTTTCTTCCAAAAAAGCTCCCATGGGACGCCGGGGAAATGGAGATTAGAAAGTTCAAATTAACAATTCCGTCTGTTCATCCTCTTTATTATAGTTTTTCTTCTCTTTTTTTGGCAGAAGATGTTTGATTTTTCCGTTTGTTTCCTTAAATAAAATTGTCATCGCGCGCACAAAAAACGGACACACTGTATTATCCTTCAATCTCCAGAAAACGTGAAAGCGTATTCAATTTTTGGAATTTGTTTCTTTATATTGTTTAATTTTTTTTCGTTTTGAGCCATTTTTACTGCGTAACCGGCCCTGGAGGTGATATTTAAGGGTACGGGTGCATTCCACCAAATGGCAATATTTCTGCTCGCGAGCTCATTAATATTTTGTGATCCCACGGTTTTTTTTTCAATAAGACAAGCCATAATTAGGAGGATCATAGAAATATTTCTGTAAATCCTGAAGTTGGGACTGATGGTTTCCAATTCGAGCATTTTTTTCACAAAAAGCAGCAAAAAATTGCGGGCCTATTTTGGGTAGAAGCCGGCAGCTTCATTCAGAACAGAACAAAGCTCAAAGACCCAGGGAGTTGACCCTGGCAACGATTTACACAATCTCACCATTTTGGGGGGTCAAACAATCTCCTTTTTCAAAAGATACTGCGGGGCCACTTTTAATGCTGATGAGCTGTTCAGAAATTCTCACTTGAATTAGTGGACTGCACCCTTAGGTGCAGTGCTACCAGAAACGAGGACGTCAGAGAGATCCCGACTTGATTCAAGTCTAGTACAGTCCACGTGTGAAATGTTCAAGGAATCACGCGTTTTGCCGAAGCCAGACTATCTGCCTGGGGAGTAGTGCTACGAAGAGTCAAGGTACTACACTGGGGATATGGCGTGATTTTTGGATTTTAATTGCAGACGAAAGGCATGCTACAGAAAGTCAGTCAATGGCTCCCCGTCTTTTAGGGAACAGGTAGGCATATCATTTTTACTTTGTAGCTAATCAATCGGCTATACTTATTCAAGTAAAAAGAAATTGGAAAGGTGTGGGGTAATGGTGATGGGTGTGGAGTTGCTTTTAATTTATTGGCATGAGTCCCCAAGCCCTTTTTGCACCATAGTCATGTTCGGTTGACTTGCATGACTTGCAGGCCTTGAGGTTCTTCTTTATAATTTGCACTTTTGTGCCACAGGGTCTGTCTGTACGTGATTGGTTAGCCCAAATTCATTGCACTTTGATATAGTCTGCACTGGCCAACCCCTTTCAAAGTTTCACTGCTGTACCTGTAATTACAATACAACGGCAACCAATTGTCTTCTGTCACTAGACATGCTAGAGTAGAGGCACAATTTTAAATTCCCATCGACTTCGACTGCTGGTATTCAGATCGGAACTTGCTATCCAATCTCAAAGAAAAACTTTGTACAAATGTTTGAGGAGAACCACTGCCTATTCTTGGAACCCATTGGAGAAGTACACACAGAAGCTGTTAATCACTGTTTAGAAAGGGGAATTTTTCTTTGCAGATTGGATAATTTTTTACTTTTATTCTGATTGAAAAGGGCCCTTTTGTAAAAGCATTGCATTGCCAGCAATGCGTGGTTCTGACAGTGTCGGACGTACAGGGTGTCCGACGTACACATCTGATTCCACAATTTTTGAGTATTCGAAAAAATAATTGGGGGAGTTAAGCCTACATGTATGTCATGTACATGTATGTCTAGAAAGAAGGAACTCATAGTGCTTTGTATTGTAAATTTGGCAGTCTTTTGCAAAAGGGTGCACTGAGGGGATAAAAAACTACATGTACAGTGTATGCCGTTTTGGTGTCGGACGTACATAAGAAAAGTAAGTGTTATAAAATAAGACATTACATAGAATTTCAAAACGAAAATGAAAATTCATTTCTGTCATTGTTTACTTATTGGGGCACTCTTCAAACTGTAACAAAACTGGAACAAAAAATTATCAGGCTAAAAAACAGAAAATCTTTCAGAGGGGAAATATTTTCCCCAAGTTCCTGAAGTTCTTGGTATTTAAAACCAATTTTTCAGTGTCATTCTTGAATGTTGTTAGAAATGAAGTATGTTTCATGAAAGTATACACCATAAAGCTTCAAAATGATATATAATTTGTCACATTTGGACCAGTTTGAAATTTTGGCCCCGAGATTGATGTTTCTGTGGAACTGCCCAGTTCCAACCTACATTAGTAATGCAAAATTTTAGTGTTGCTCACTTTAGGTAAAATGAACCCCCGAAGTTGAACAATGTATGTATGTTGAGGAACCTGCCACCTCTAAGGAAAACATGCTTTTTCTGATTTTATCAGTTCAAATATATATACATGTACATTGTACATGTACCGTACATGTACATGTATGGAAGCATCCAAATGGAACACAGTGTCATTTGTCTTCAAGTTCAAAGCTCAACATTAAGAAGCTAAAAAGGTTTGGTTTTTTTTGTTCATGGCAAGATGCGAATTCTGAATGTAGATAGCGTCACTGAGGAGAAAAACAGATAAAACGAGGGGAACCCTTGCCCTGTGTTCGTAGTGGATAAACCCTTGTGCATGCCAAGTAATGGCTACATGTACCGGTACATGCATTTTACATGTACTGTACATGTATAACTTGTCAGAGTACTCCTGTTTTCACGGTTTGCAAGTTCTCTTTTTCTACATGTACCTACATGTATGTATATACAGAAATTGAAATCAAAATCATGATACAAACCACCCCCAATACTGCTGCGGCACCCCCCTCTCGTACATATTTTAAATTAGTTTTGTTCTTGTGATTTTATGTCGTAAAGTTTTAATACATGTACTTTTAAATTCTTTTTATGGTGCTTTTGCTTTTAACTGAAACACGCAGGGCCCGAATGGAAACCAGAATGTTTACTGATGTGGCTCGCCCTGGATAAATAAAAGAAAGAAAGAAATGAACTGAGTTCCACCGTGTCCACCCTTTTACACCTACATGTTCTGTATCTCCAAAAACTCCAGGGTACCCGGGACAGCTTTTTTTGGCATGTTTGGGGGGGGGATTTGGTTTTCCTGATCAGAGTTTCAAGCAGAACCCACTCTTTTGTGAGTGTGTTTTCCATAGATGAACTGACAAATTTGACCTGCCTTTCCCATGTACGGTACATGTAAATGAAATGCTAGCCAGTGTTCTCCATGGACACATTTTTAGCAGGGTGGCATGACGTCATTGAGATTGTGATGATGTCATTTTGGGCACTACGACATAACGATAATCAGAGGCGTGAAGATTGCAAGGTGAACTTTCCTCGGGGGAAAAATAATAAATTCGGTTTCGTCAGATGAGATCACAATGATGTTTTTAAGGTACATGTACATGTAATCTTTTCCATTAGATATTCATAAGGGATATTCTTGCGTGACCTTGCACAATCACGATCATGCCGAAGTCCAACATCTGACTTGGCTTGTCATGTGTTGCTGCAGTGCCGCACGTGTATCGGTATACGTGTGTACGTAGCATTGAATGACTTTATGTACACCACTGCACAGTAACCCTGAAGTGCCTCCAAAAAGTGATACTACAAAACATGCCCTACAAAGAGAATGCAAATTCATAAGGTTCTAGGCCTGTTTACTGCTATCTGGCTCTTATGATTATTGGCCCATTGGCACATGTACATGGAGTTCCTTTGTATTCATACCTTATTCATGTTATTAATCCAGAGATGAATGATGAGGTGATCCAGAGATGAATAAGCTGCTCTTTGGACATTTTCAAAAGTCTTTTCGAAGGCTGTGTTTTCAGTCGCCATTTGCATTGTATGCATGCATGCTCCAAAGTTTTGTCAACTTGAGTTACAGATTTCCAAAAGTGCTCGTTTTTTCCTGACCTTGACATCTGTGCAATGTTCGATTAATTACAACACCTGAATCTTGGTCTGAGTTGTTCCAATCACGCCAAGCCAAAATCATTGCTACATGTACACGTACAAGACATGCAGGCAGCGCGGCGGTAATGCAAGCAGGGTTGTGCTCTGTATGTACATTGTACATACATTGTACATGTATATGTACATGGTGCGTGGAACCGGCAGTCACAAAGGCTGATTTGGGGCAATTAGCGGGCAGCACGTTACAGCGGAAATAGTTCTGGCCATTGGATCTTGGCTGCTTCTATTTTTTATTTTATTTCAAAAATATGGCAGAGAGAAATTTTAGCGGGGCAGCCCGCCCTGCCAAATCTGTTTGTGGAGGACACTGCTACATGTAGCTCTTTGTTGTTAAGTCCCGTGATGGTAATAAAAGTTGCTTGTTTGGTGTTATGAGTACGGTAGTGCTGCACACAATATTGTACATGTAGGTGCCAATGTTCAGTTCAAGTTCGGTTCGGACATGGTCCGGAAATTGTTTGCACATTGAGACTTTGAAATGGACATTGAGACATCGAAGAACACGCTATGAACCACTGTTCTATCGGAGACCTTGATGTCGAAGACCAAGACCGAGACCAAGGCATACAAGTCCGAGACTAAGACCAGGACTTCGAGACCGAGACTTTTGCAGGTCGACACCGAAACCACGACATCCGAGACCGAGACCAACCATAAACCAATGTTTAGTTTTTACCAAAAGGTAAAAAGGGACAAACATATGGCAGTACAATTAAGTACAAAAGAAATAAAATGATAACATTAGCATAAAGACGCACGTGTGTACATAAATACATGTAGGTCATATATTTGTTAAAGAATGTCTCCGTTCTTTTATCAGTGATACTGCTCTTCTTTTACCCTGGTCTGGTCATTTTCAACCTGAGTGTCCCAAATGATACATGTATGATGTGTACATTAAACTGTTAAAACAAATATCCTTAGATATGTTAGACTTTTTTGTTAGCAAAATACCGAAAAACAAATATCCAAAAAAGATGTGCCGTAATGAAACTTCTAAAACAACACGCACCACATACAAGATGGAATGACAGCACTTTCACACGTGCACACAATTCATAGCGTGTGCACACACAGACTAGTTCCTGTCCCGGCCCTATGTTCAGCAGGAGACTACTTAGGGAACGGGAACCAGTCTAGTGTGCGAATTCCGCTACTCAAAACCCATTGTGTCAAGCAGCATGGCTACTCAGGATTGGAAATAAAGTAACAACTTGGGATAATGTTGCATCATGCTGCATTTACTAGTCTTCATTCCAGCGTCAATTTCATTGTTTATTGCAAAAAATCTGAACGTTGCTGTGTTGTATTATGTACATGTATCAGTGGTTGAAGATTTGACTTGCGCGGAGGTAATTTTGCCTTTTGCAACCGCGTGCATGCGTGGTACTGTAGCTACCGGTAGATGCGCATTTTGTTATGGTCTCGACTGGTCTCGAGGGAGAGACCCTGGACTATGGCATCCAAGACTGGGACCAAGACCCAGACCGGCACTTTCGAGACCAAGACCGACCCGACCAAGACTTTGACAAGGTGAGACCGAGACAGCAAAAAAAAAGCCCCAGGACAATCTCAAGACCGAGACAAGGTCTCGAGACCTACGTGTACAACACTGCTGTGAACGAATGTACCGTATAGTACTTCCATGTGTAAAGTACATTTATACAAGCAATGAATCTCCTCTTCATCCCCATCCACAAGCAACTTCGATGTGAACATAATTTTTTTCTTAACTGTTTCCTCAAAGTTTTTTAATGAGTTAAAATTCCATAGGAAGTGACTGTTGGAGGTGTGACAGTTTCTGACCGTGTTTTGCCGACCAAAAGTGGTCATGTTTGGACCAGCGATTGTAGGATATGTGAAAACAGAAAAAAAAAACCAGCATGCTCAAATGGGAGTTTTCTCCTTTACAGGACAAAAGATCAAATTGCATGTAGATTTCGAGCGAATTGTGTTTTGGTTATTTTCACAAAACAGATTCAACTGCCAAACCATGGATTTTGATGTACCGGTACATGTATTTGAAGAAGAACCTTGGTATCACGTCAGCATTCCATCCCAGGACGGCACCCACGTGGCCAAAGGGGCGATTTTCCATCAGTCTTTTTGAACGGATAACAGCATTTTGTTATTCGAGATTTATGAACAACTGGCAAAATTCCATTACAAGATACTCACTTTACGACTCCGATCAAACATGTCAAACATGATCAACGAAAGGCAAGCTGGGCCACAGCGCGAACCAAATCTTGTCGAGCGCTGCACTGGTGGGCCTGCCTGGCAAAATCAGTTTTCCTGCTGGAGTTGCCTTCGATCGAGCACGAGTCTGACTGTGATCAGCATCCAATCAAAATTTGTTTTGTTCGGCACAGTTGTATGTAGTGAGAATTTAGAATGGTTGTGCAACAGAAATGCTGTATGTTGCATGTTCTAGGTTGATTACTGGAATGCTCACCATGTGCTTTTTTTACAACCATCGAGGGCCATCGTAAATTTACTGTATACATGTACCCTGTGTACACAGCAGCACAACTCGTTATTCATTTTTTGTTGTGTTTGCTTTTTATCACTTTTTTGCATGCATTCCTTGTGCTATCAGTGTCATGCCATATTAAAGCCGAACATCCAAACCGATCAGTTTGGTTCAGTTTGATTCAAAAGTGCCATGTTCGACGATTTTTGGTTCAGTTCAGCAGTTTGGCTGCAGCACTGGTCATGAGAGATTTGTATATTGATCACATCTGTAAATTGACGTTTATCCCCATTTCATTAATTATACATGTACATGTGTGTATTTAATAGCCTTGGTCGGCAGCTGGGAATTGGTTATTATAATGCAGACTTATTAGAATTGTTGCTTGACAAAGTGATCATTCTGCTCTCTCCCTTCCACAGACTGACTTCAGAGATCAGAAGCAGTCAAAACTGTCTTCTTTTGATTGATTGGCCATTAAACCTTGACCTTGAAGAAAGAAAACAGGGAAACTCAGCAGCCAAGACTTCACTTGGGCGAACAAGGCATGGCAGCGTTCATGGTAGACAGCCCCTCGGTAAAGTACACAGATAACTTCATTGAATCCGACTACAGCTATGAGACCACCCGTGTCTGGAGAGGCAATGGCAGAATCCGGGTAATTGAACTAAAAAATCATAAATGAAATTAACGTACATGGATGCATGCATAAATTATCAGACTATTTGGTCTTTTGTACGATGGCATTCAGAAGCAAAACTTCAGTTTTGCCCATTGCGGTATATCAGATTTGACTGGTTGAAGTAGCCAGTTGAACCTGACAAGCTCATTGGTCAAGTTGGTAAGATGTCTATTATTAGCAAGTTTAAGCTTGTGGGTTTGGGTCGCATCCAAGCAGGCGTTGTGACTCCTTCCTCACAACTTCTTGACATGTACAGTACTAACCGTACAGTATGTAAACAGTCAGTACAATTACACATACATGTACTTTGCACAGGTACTGATTTCATTCAATTTTTCATCAGTGATTGCCATGTACATGTACTTCACATGTTCAGGTAGGAAAGATATTATGTGCATGTCAAACTTTCCGATCAGCAGTTAAACCCTGGGCTCATGGGGATGTCTTCAAATTTCAAAACATGAATCATTTTCAGTTAGTATACGTACTTAACATGTACATGTATTTGGTCCTTGCTGGAGAAAAATGTGTTGAGAAAAGTGCTTTTATCAAAATAGAGTGAGCCCTTGAAACATTTATTTTTCCTTATTTCCTACAACAAGAGGTACATACGTGTACTGTACAGCCGTTTTAGTCTGCTGGAAATGTCAGCATACATGTACATGTACTAAAGGATAGCACCTTATGGAAGAGATTAAAGCCGAAAAGAGGCTCAAGCTTAGTTACATGTACGTCTACTTTGCCAGATGCCCGGAAGAAAGTTACTCCTGCAGTGCCCTTGGGGAACACATGTGCACTGTGATTCCTCAAGGCGACCATTATATTCTGTCTCTTTTTTTTTTTCAGGTGATGCCCATCAGCACACAGGTAAAGTTTCGCACCGATTGCCGTAAGCCGCGACTGGGCTGCATGCTGGTGGGATGGGGAGGCAATAACGGGACGACTGTCACGGCCGCTGTGATCGCCAACCAAAAGAAGATGAGCTGGCACACCAAAGAAGGGATCCAGGTATTCATACTATGTATATATATACATGAGTAATTGAAAGTGTGTTGAACCTGGGTGACCATGTGTGCCGAAATATGGTGCCTTGTGGAGACCCAGAAGAATGGGTTGAATAGGTCTCCACAAGGAATTTCTAAAGGTGTATAGGTCTCCACAAGGATTTCACGAAATTGATATTTGGAAATTGTTCAAAAAGGAGAAATTTTTAATGTGTAAGAAACCGTCGCAAAATGAAGTGTTTCACCTAAGGGACATTCAGTCGAAATTTAAATCCAGGCATGCCAGGAGAGTGATTCATGTTGAAAAGGGAGGATTTTGAAAACATCGTTTCACACGCGACTGAATCGGTACTGGAGAACAAAGCCATGTCTCTACAAGGATACAAATTTCGGAATGGGTGAACTTACAGTGTACACATGTACATGTAAAGAGCAATTTCTCTACCATCTGCTTCTACTCTGTTTTCCTGGAAGCCCTCTGGCTTTCATGCTCAGCACTCCTGACCTTCAGACATTGACTCGACACGTTGCATTTTCTACTTTTTGTGTCAAGACCTTGTCAGNGGGTGGAAATCAACTTTCAATCTCTTGGTGGCCTGTCGGGCCAATGAGAAGTGCACTTCAGTGGCCCACATGAAAATGTGGTGGCCCGGCTTAATGAGTTTATGTTCAGTGTTCATGTAAATGAAATGTATCAAAACAGCTCATTTACCAACCCAGCTGAATTGACAACCAGTCAAAGGGAATATCACAGGTTGATCGGCATGATTCGGGGAGCAATTTCCTGTAGGTTTCATCGGTTTTTGTGGGATTTAGCGTTAGAATGACACAGTGTCAAGTCTCTGTAAGAACCTGTAAGTTCATCACAAGTCATTTAGTCATACATGTAAGTCACAAGCTATTCAAATGACCTGTGACAAAAGCATTCTTTTGTCTTTATTCACCCTGTTTCATATGACTGGTCTTGTGAAGGGACTTGTGACTGGACCTGTGTCTGGACTTGTGATGGACTTGAATACAAGACTGGACTGAAAATGATACCAGCCAAGGCATCAATACAGTAAAATCACGATAAGTCGAAGCTCAGGGGATGGACAAAAAGTTCGAGTTATCCGACGTTCGAGTTATCGTAAGTTACTCGCTTCAGTGCACATGCAACCTTACTGGCTTAGGGCAGTTGGCCTGCAAGCCGAGTCGAACACGAAGTGGATTTTAGACTATCCCTACTGTGCAAGTTCTCCTCAAACATCATCATTAAACATGTTTTTATGTGGTACATTAATAAACAATAAACCAATGGAGTTATGTACTGGTACCTGTGTCTACGTCTTGAGAATTCATTCATTTGCTTTGCTTGATCAGGCTGTTACCGCATAATGCAGCGCGCAGGCCAGTCGGTCAGGGTTTCCGTGCAGGTTCACGTGATACATGTACGAAGTGCTTGAGGGCGCATCATTCATGCCTGATTTAGGCTGCAGCCAAATCTCTTGTCTAGAGCTAGGTCTTGGTATTCACTCCATTGGAAATGCATGGAGACGCACAGACAGTAGACCAAGCCGTAGCTCTGGAAGCCTGTTTCGGACACGGCCTTATTATTTTACGTTCACATTATGGAACCAGACTCACTACTGATGTAGGTTAGAATACTGGCATCACTAGAGGTATAGCAAATGCAGATCTGTGATTGGTCGGGTATTGGTTGTAGCATTGATTGCATACGCAGAGACGACTATGAAGGCACACGTTTCAGACTTTAACAACGCTTTTCATGTGGTGCTGAAAGTGTTCATCATGTGGATGTATTTACATTAAACGTGTCAAATCTGACCAGAAAAGCCAGTAATAAGTGAGCACGGAGCTGATTACAAGAGAAATTGTAACCCCATCGCAAAAGAGGTCTTGGGTTACATGTACATGTACAGTCTGACAGTAGAATTTCAAATTTTATTTTTTTGTGACTATTTCCCTTTTGCATACTTAAATTGTTCTTTCCAGAGCTTTTGACCTTTCTACTGGTAAGCAGTGTTCCAGTGTTGAACCTTTGATCTATTGCCTATTCCTTTTGTCAATTAGCCTGCTCTTTCTTCAGTTTATCTTTAATGTTCCTGCTTTCCTAGAAGATCACAGGATGCTTTTTGTACCCACTGCCTTTAATCTCCGACTCCCAGTAAATTTTACAGGAGATCTGCATGATGTCAGAACATTTAATCCTTAGTTGTTATTCACACCTTTAGCTGTGAAAGCCATAAACTTCTGTTGAGTGCTCATCTGCCTAGAAACTAAATGACCAATCAGTATTTGAGTCATGTGTGACATTTTTTAAGTTGTCCAATGAGAGCGTGAGCTAGTCTTCATGTGGCAAGGGCATGTCTGGGGGGCAGTTTGCTCCAAAGGTTTGGCAACCTTGGCATTCCAAACTCTGCCATCGTGCCGACTACATGCCTGCCAAATTTTGTCCGTGCTCTGCACTATTTTTCTTTGGACCGGAGGACCTCAAAAGCCAAGTCTTCCCCTTGCATGTATGTTCACGAGTGTTGGCTCTCTATTTTACACATACATGACATGGGTAAGTTTGAGTTCCTACATGTGCATGTATTTACATGTACATCAAGTGTATCATTTTATACTAATGTATTGTGTGTCTTTGCCGGGGTTTATTTTTATGAAGTCTGGACTTTGGAATATTTTGAGAAGTCCCAGTAAATTTATGATTTTGAAGTTTTGGGGTATCTCGTAATTTCCACTAGCCAGTAATGTTCTGAGACTACATGTACATCCAAAAGAGATGTTTCCTTGGAAAGCTTTGCTTTTACCTTTACATGTAGCTTAAGAAGTGTTTAGTAAAATATTTTGAGATGGTTTGAGATGGTGTACTTTCCAATCACTTTGACTTACATGTACATGTACATGTACAACTTAGTGGAGGCTGAGAATAAGTTGTGCCCTTCACTGCGTTGAGAAATACATGTACATGTGCAGATTTAGTATGTTTAAGTCAGGACTATCACCCATCATATCCATGATGTACATGTACATGTACATGTACATGTACATGTACNGTGATAGACTGACTGTAGTCGTACAGTCTGGACTAATGTTTTTGTAATGCTTTTTCGATGACTGTGGTTTATTTGAACAGGGTTTCGTAAATATTTTATAGATTGTGATGTGTGTTGATTTATGAGAAGTCAGAGATATGAGTTGTCTCTTGGTCAAGCTTTGGACTTTGTTTTTCATATGTACATATACATGTAGTAGGGATGTTACAAAACCGCATAGTCAGTGGTGGTCAAAATCTGCCAGTGTGCGTGTGCGCGCGGTGTTCAGGGGATCCCTGAGAAAAACGCATTTTTTCATTGACTGCTGGGGGGTATCCTATTGGGTCATAGCTTATGACATAGTGAAAATGCTAATGTCCAACCTCGTCTTAGAAATTTTTCGATACGACATTGCGTTCTACGCCTGCGATGGACTTGAAACTTTGACTATTTTCAACGCTCTCCAAATCGTGATAGGGACTTCAGGAATACACGAAAGGTATTTAGGATGCTTTATTATTATTTCATCTACCTACTGATTAAATTTTTTTGAAATCTTATGATTAGAAGGTTATTTTTTATGGCCCGACTTCGACCCTGTTGTCAGATGCCCAAATCAAGATGGTGACCTGTGTGGCATTGCACATTTCGTTTGAGTGATTTTCGCCAATCTTCGCTCCATATTTTGATACGTAAATATTGACCATGGGTATGCAAAATCACAATTTATAGGCAACTAAGATATTATTTTGAATTGATATTGAAAAAAACGTTGATTTTGTTCATTGTGAGAATGGATGGAAAGTGATATTTGAACGCATACGATATCGCCAAATTGCAGCAGTCCAGTGCAGGCCTCAGGATAGACACGCACATGTACATGTACATGTAGGTCTACATGTGTAGTACATGCATTGACCATGTTCATGCAGATGTGCATGGACTTTGTACATGTATGATGAAGCCTAAATCTTGAAACCTCACTATTAATAATTTTTGGATTAACGCATCTCGTTAATTATAATTTTAAATTTTTTTTTTAATCTTCGTATTGCTTGCGTCCATAAAATGGTTTACAATGTAGGCCAAGGCCCTTTTTATTTGTAGGCCTGGTTTCTGTGTAAACTTAATTTTCATTTGTATTTTGGGGTTAAACTTTAATTTATTTATTTCCTTTTAAATAGCCACATAAAAACCCATATTTTTTCTTTTATTTTTTTTTTCAGATGCTACCTAAAAAGAAACGTAGAATTGCCAATCTAAATGCCCAGCCTGGTGTAGCCAGAGCTCATCTGGAATCAAATTATATATATTATGTATATGTACACTTCATTCGAAAAAAGTCGAACTGAAACTGAGAAACAATTGAGTGCACATTTTTCTTTGTCGCAAGCGGACGGGTACTCGTCTGCTTTGGTTAACTCGGCTGTGAAAGTTCTTGTTCACCAGACCTTGCTTAAGTTCAAGAAACTTAACAATCCCAAGGAACTAGAAAAATTTGTGAAGAAACATTAAACTACATGTTAGTTCTCCATCTTCTGTTCATGAGACATTGATGAAAACTAGTGACGCTGAAGTTATTGAAGATAACGCACCAATCACAGATGTTGATTGTGAACCAACAACATCTACATTTGCTGTATCTCCTGAATCGATGCCATCAATGTCTGCTGCCTCCACTGAATCAGTGCCAGCGACATCTGCTCCTTCCACTGAATGAGTGCCATCGACATCTGCTCCTTCCACTGAATCAGTGCCATCGACATCTGCTCCTTCCACTGAATCAGTGCCATCGACATCTGCTCCTTCCACTGAATCAGTGCCAGCGACATCTGCTCCTTCCACTGAATCAGTGCCATCGACATCTGGTGCGTCCACTGAATCAATGCCATCGACATCTGCTGTTTCTCCTGCTTCTAGTATTTTGACAAGATCCAGGACTGAAATAGTTACACCAAGAAAGCAT